TCTTTTTATATAAAAATTTCAATTTTTAAACAACTAGAGTAATTTATTTCTTTTAAAAATTAAAAATAAATGAATTTGAATTATTCTGTAAGGAATGTTCAAGTATTATTCAACGCAATTAGGGGAAGGCTCTTGTAAAATTGCTGGAGTGTTACAGGTTATAGAGGAGAGGAAGGGAGGCAAGAAATGTGTTACATAGTATTATTTTTTTGTTAAAATTAAGAAAACGATATTTTTCGCGACATTTTAAAATAAATATATGGTCATATGACATACGTAACATTTCGAGAAGGGTAGGAGGGTAAGGTGAAAATTTATGGTGATTTAAGGAGGGATGCAGGAAGCTTCAAAATTGTTCGAAGCTTGCATTACATAATACTTAAACTACCCCTGCATTTAATTTAATTCAAATATTTTTTTTATCACAATTTACAGACACATTTTTACATGACTAGAAGGGTTTATTATCTGTATATATCCAGTCAAAGGCATGGGTGTTACTAGCTCTGACATATTATATTAGAAGAAACTCCCCGCAGGCTTATACACATACGTCTTTTTTAATAAAATATTACATTTTAACATTTTTAAATTAATGGGTCAGTTTGCTTTCGTATATTGTGTGTTTTAATAAAATTATTTATTAATATGCTAATACAAAATTTTTTAGTCCTATCAAGACTTTGAGTATATTGTTTATGTTCTTGACTGCTTCCTATATTCTAAAATAAATTGTAGAGTATAGCGTTGTTAAGAACTTCACTTATGTTATCGTTTATCACCTTTTTATCAAATTAGGATAAATTCTAAAGCAATGGGGTTACTGGGTGATTGAAAAGTTGTGCATTGGACTTATGAGAATGTATCTCCTTTCTATCGACGTACATATTATGTAAAAAAATAATTGTGATTTCCGAGATATGGAAATCCACAACTAGCCCTGGATTTTAAAAAATGCAACCGATACTTTTCGTTAATAATAATTGGCAATTAATTAAATATTACGTTGATTGAAGGTTATCACAGTTCTCTGCTGCCGAGTACGGAAATTTGCGGAGTTTCTTCAGCGGAGAGGATTTTGGGTGGTGAGGAAACAGAATTAGATGAGTTTCCTTGGATGGCACTTCTACAATATACAAAACGTAGGTAGGCTATTATAAATTTTGAATGTTACAATTATATTAGGGTGTGTATGAATCATAAGGTCGTCAGTTCTAAGACTGGTTGNTTTAATTGACGTTTCTACATATCTAGGGTACCTGAAAAGATCATCGTTTCAATATCTTACCAGTTATACATTAGATAGGTTGAAAATCATGTGCTACTTTGATTCGTGGCTCATAAACTTTCTATTTCTTGACTTGAACATCCAATACTCCAACTGATGTCAATTTGACCGGAGTCGATTTTCCATAAAGGTGCGGACCTTTGCCTATCTTATTCGACTGTAGCCATTAGATGGCGAAACATTTATTATCTGTCTAACCTCTTTCTAAATTAGAAAATTGATAGCTAATACAAATGCTCGATAATTCATATACATCCGTATAAAAAAACGGAATTTTTAGGGTTTTTTATAACCAAATTCTTTTCTCTTTTTTACACACCTTTTTTTTATTTTATTTAGCATTTGTCCAACCGATTTGCTTGCCCTGGGGCAGTCAAATGTTTGAGGATTACTTGGGAACATCTGCTGAAGTAGCAGGATGGGGCATACTGAATATTAATGAGCAAAAGTTAAGTCAAGTCCTCATGGTGGTAACTTTACCGATTGTGGATATGGCAAAGTGTGAGAAAAGCTTTAAAAAATATACCACGCTTTCTAAGAATCAACTTTGCGTGGGCGGGAATGAAGGAAAGGACTCCTGTGGTGGCGATTCAGGAGGGCCCCTTATGAAACCATCCGCGGCACATGGAGCGCCAAGGTATTACGTCATAGGACTTGTTTCGTTTGGGTCGAAACGTTGCGGACTATTTCCTATTCCAGCAATATATACGAACACTGCGAAATATTTGGATTGGATACTGGGCCACTTAAGACCTTGATTGTTTTATGTACATTTTTTTATCGAAAATACGTTTATATTTTCTTTTTCTTTAATACAAAAGCATTTTTTAATCATTTTTATAAACCAAGAAAGCTTTTTTGTTTGTTTTGTACCTGTATCTAAATAAACTTTTGACTTATTTGTTTAAGATATAAATGAAATTTGTAATAAAATAAGTGCAAGGAGATTTATTGTTAGTGAAATTTCCAGGTCTTCTTAATTAAAATTCAATTTGTCGCCACAATAACTTTTACTTTAATTATTCGTTTCCATACTAATTACAGTCATGTATCGTAGTATAATATTTAGTACAGTTATTTGTAAAAGAACGAGTGGATATTTGTTAGTGGTTAAATGAAAAACCGATTTCGTTTCTTCATCTAGTTTTTACTACTTATTATAGGGACACTAAAAAGATAGTAGCATCCGATTTAGTTAATAATTTTATTATTGCATGCATGTCTTTAACCTTTGTTTACTTGTGTCGTATAAATGAGCGTATGAAAGTGTTACTATGTAGTTGTATTTTCCAAGGCAGGCAAGATACACTGATTGCAGTGTTGTGTATGTTGTGGAATGAAGAGTTCAGTTGTTGACCAAAAGCCGATAAAGAAAGAAGAGCAATTGTGATTTGAATCAAAGTGTTAGTGCTGTGTGATTTAAAAATGAACCATTTTCTCTTCGATTTTTTCCTGTGTTTTTTTATACTTAGTTCTTGGAGAAAGTTAAGTGTAAATTCTCGTAAGTAGTAGGTTTCTTTTTTCTACTTCTTTTACTTTTTTTATACAAAAAAAATTGAACTGTGACATTATCGCTATCGAGAATGTAACTTTTATTACTTATCGCAAGCTGTTACATTTTGCAGATAGCTTATATTGTTTTTTTTCTGTGTAAAAATTAAAATTAGATAAACTGTGGTGAAAATGATTTTATTTGTATTTAAATCCCTTGTTAGTATTATTTACAAACTAGTGTTAAATAGTTTATGAACTCAGTAGTTGTAGGCTTTTTTTTTTATGAATATATCTATTCGTACTTCGTCAAGTTTGTGATATTTAAGCAAAGAGAGAAGAGAGGTTTAATAATATTTTGTTTTAATATTTGCCCATAATCTGGTTTTTACTTTTTAATGCTAAGTTAGTAGATTATGTCATAAGATATTCCCAGTGTGATTGAAGTTATTTTATCGAGCAATTGCGTCAATATAAGCATAAAAATATCAACATTATATAAGGTATTTCTGTTTTTTTTTTTCCTGTAAATATGCTGTAAAAAATAGGTATGTGATAATTATTCTAAAATTACAGTGGATTTCGTTCGTAATACAAAATTTGAATTATTTTATTTTTAGAGTGTGTTGGAGATTGTGAGAATTGCATAACGCCAAAGGGTGAAAGAGGACAATGTGTAACTATAAAAAATTGTCCTCAATTGCTTCGAATACTTTCGTATGTGCCGATTAGGGCTGAAGACGCAAATCTATTAAGGGATTCGAATTGTGGATTTCAAGGCATCGATCCTAAAGTGTGTTGTAGTTTGACGAATGAACAAATTACAACTCCACCGCCTGCAACTAGAATACCTTTAAACACTGGAGAAAAACTGACAGGTATTAAGGGGAGCAATAAAAAATTTGCTCTGGAAATAAACGAGAGAATTTGTTTAATATTTTATCAGATAAATCAATTGGTATCACAATTTAAAATCTGCATTAGGTAATGCCTATTAATTTGGTACTTATTATTAAAATTCCAGTCTCTTAGACAACGATATCGACAAAAAACAATTACGAAATAAATAAATCAATTACAATAATAACTCTTGTTTTAATAGATAAAATTAAACAATAAGATTTGCTTTGATACACGCACACACCCATATATCAATATCGAGGTCGATGCTACATGTTTAAAAATTAATGTTTGTTTCTTTCCTTGTTTGTCAAGTTCCTAAACCATTAACATAAAATTTGGTTCTTTAGTAAGTTGCTGTCCAAACCCCAAAAAAGGTTTCTTAATAAAAAAAAAAACAAATAAACACTATAGACATTTTATGTGGAAGAAATAACAGATTCAGTGATAAAACTGTTCGTCTAACTAAAAACTTTAAAGCGAAGAATGCACGCGATCGCGACCGCTATGACGATCACAACTGCGATAGAAAGCACACATATGAATGCACGATAGTGACCTTGCAATCGCCGGTAGATTATTTTTATTTTAACCAAAGTAATTTACATCGTTAATGTAAAAAGTCCAGGTTGGAGGATACTTAAGAACTACTGCTCTTTGCAGTAATACTGGACAGTGAAGAAAAACGTCACAAAAGTATTTTACACCCTTGATATTTAAATTGTAAACGATAGTAAAAATTGCTAATTTACCTTGTGCTTTACATCTCTTGCGTGTAGAAAATCGAGGTTTGATAAATCACATAATGTATTGATTTGCGTTGGATAATATTGCTAAAATCTTCCATTTCACGAAATTCAATTTTACGCGATCAGCGATCAGATTTAACCCGTAGCGTTTTATTGGGGCGGTAACTTGGGTGATCGCGTATGGGCCGTCGGTATGGAATTTCATTAGAAGGATCTGATCGCTATCGCCTCGTGATCGCGACCGCGCAAGTGTGTTCTTCGCTTAAATTTGAAAATTTTGTAGATCTCGAGAAACCTTACAAATAAAATTAGGATCCTTACGTATAAATTGATAATAGATGTCGACTACCAGAAAATTAACATTGCTAAGGGGTTTTCGAGACTATTGTAGAAAAAATCCTACGTTCTAAAATTTTTACTTGCTTATAGATGTTTTAGTCACTGCAACTCAGAAACGTTTGGGATAAGTTATTATCAGTAGTAATGTTATTTATAGCGTTTCTCGCAGAGATGTGATTTATTTGAAATACTTGAATTTAAAATGCAAATACAAAATAAAAAATACCTATTTTTATCCTGCATTTAAATACTTTTTTGAGAAAAGCATTTTGTATTTTATTTGAAATACTTTTCCAAACGTAGTTTCTATTTGTAAAATGCGAAATACATTTTTGCCGTTAAAAGTGTTGATAGTATCATAGGTATACACAAATCAAACATTACATACAATGATGAATGAAAGTTGCTCACATTGGCCATTAAATGTATTAAAAACTTAAAAGGGGGTTAAAGAAACATTCCATGAAAATCTCTAATTCTTTAAGTAAAGAGAGCCAAAAAATTCTAAACTTCTTGGAAATGGATAATCTAAAATATTGAATCGATAGTGTTTTCCGGGTTCAATGTTCAATGAACTTTGAAGTTCCAAATTGATATCAGCACTTGCCAAATCACCACTTATCGTACCTTTAGCAAGAAATTCTATGAATTACGACAAAACAGCCCGCTAAACAATATCGAATTGATATACGCCAGCTGTGTAAAACTTAAAAATACAAGATATTGTGGTGTGCTAATAAATGCCTATAATCCAAAATTTTCTCTTATTACAATGTGTAAAAGATCAGAAACAAAATGGGCTTGTAAATATTTTGATATAAAATGATTGATGTTGATTTTACATCAATAAGATTATTAGCAACTCTATTTTGGCATCAGTATGTTTTTTCCAATTAAAGTGGGTGACAAAGGTACCTAAATAAGGAATAATATAGAAGAATTATTTGTTGCTGTACTGAAGAAACTATGTATAACATAAAGATAGAAAAACTATATCTCAATCACTTCAAACAGAAAAATATGAATCATACTCAATTTTGCAAACACCACTATTAGTCTAGAAAAATTTCAATATGGAATGGAATGGAATGTGGAAAATTAAATAGGCACTACGAAAAAGTATTTATTTGAGAAAAGTATTTTCAAAATACATTTTGCATTCAGCATCTATAATACAAAAGGGAAATCTATTTTGTATTTTACATTTGAAATAACAAATCAAAAACGTATTTGCATTTTGTATTTAATACTTTTAAAAAACCATTTTGTACATCTCTGGTTTCTCCATATCTACAACTTTCACGTTTTTGGAAAAATTTACCTGTTCAACGACCAAAAGCGGAAAAAGCTATTTTTGATCATTTTGGGGCCCCATACACCTTATTGGCAACGAACTATTGAGGGTTGAACATTTTCAAAAAAATGATGCAAATTAATTAAAGCATTTAGAAAATACTTATTTTGCATTCCGTAGTTTATATTTAAAATTTGAAATCGAAATCGTTTCATATTTTGCATCTCCCATCTCAATTACATATGTTGTAACAACAATTTTTTACATATCTCGGTAAACGGTAATTATGGAATATACATACAAGGAAATTGATTTAATATTCTTAATCATATCAGCTTGTTATTGATCATTTAAATTAACATAGTCTTCATGGTTATTGAATGTATAGAGAAAAACATCTCGTCTTTTTCAAATATTTAATATTATTGATATTTAAAAACGCATTATTTTTCTCATTATCTATTCATAATTAATACCTAAAAAATTTCTTTTTATATAAAAATTTCAATTTTTAAACAACTAGAGTAATTTATTTCTTTTAAAAATTAAAAATAAATGAATTTGAATTATTCTGTAAGGAATGTTCAAGTATTATTCAACGCAATTAGGGGAAGGCTCTTGTAAAATTGCTGGAGTGTTACAGGTTATAGAGGAGAGGAAGGGAGGCAAGAAAT